CGCAGTGATTTGGAAACAGCAAAACAGAACAGTTAAAAATCAGGTAGACGTAGTCAACGCGGACAAGGCAAGACAAGTGTTTCTCACGATCATGTAAGCGACGTTATCGCGTGCAGTCACTGAATTCTTGCATCATACCCCGGCCACATGGCAAAATTAATGTAATTTCGATCGAATGACATTATGGGGTCGACAAATCCGCTTGCGGCGCTCGTATAATCACTCAAGACCGCGAGCTGATTAAATCCTATATGACTGAATGAAAATATATTAACTTTTCCGTGTGGCAGGGGTACTAAACTTACTACTTAGGCTACTAATTTACCTCTCCCTATGGGCTCGAGCTGTCTTAGAACAAAACATAACTTATTTTGTATATAATAATACTATTACCTTAATAGTTAAGATTCTAGTATAAACGTGGTAAAGGCAATACAATAACCTTAGTATAAACAAACACGGAACCACAAACAACGCACTTTCAATAATCACATAAACTTGTTTTTCACCTTCCAGTGAAAACTAGATTACCGCGCATATTTACAAATGTCGACGCAACTGAAAACGAATAACGACAAAGAACAAAATTACAATCTATCATGCGATTAAAAAAAACGAATGCAGCATTTTACTTGCGTCCTACATGACCAAGAAAGCCCGTAAATAAGTTGTTTCTCACCTGTCGATCGTATCCATACGTCCCACAATATCCGTGACGAACACATTTGAACGCGAACTCCAAGAAGCCTCTCTCTGTCGAGAGAGAGGTCTATCGATTAATCGACCAGAGTCTTCGTTGGCTAGTTGTCACACGTCCCTTAAACCGTAGCAGGACTTGTTTCACGAATCCACGTAAATGCCGTAGTATCAAGCGAACACAAAAAAAAAAAAAAAAAAACTACCCGAGACTACGGTGATGACAGAAATACGACGGGAAACAAGTCTCAAAAGTACCACACACGAGAGCAGCGGCGACGAAAGGCTTAACGTTGTCGACCCATCTCTTGCTGGTGTGCGCTCCCTGCGACAATGACTGGATTTCTGTTCGGTTTCCTTCCCTTCTGAGTTGTCTCAGCGTTCCTTTTCAGACAGTCAGCAGCTAACACACAACGTAAATTTACCAGAATCGAAGCCATGTGGCATCGGCAGCATCGCAGCCGGTCCTTTCGAAAAAGTGTGGGGTGCTGCGGAACTGCACGTAGTCCCGCGGTTACGGGGATACTCATAAATATAATTTTGGTACTCTCAACCTTGGTTGCGCGTTATATAATACGCTTATATTATATATATAATCAATTGTACAAGACTGCGCCTTTAAAACGTATATTAATGTCGGATAAACGCGCATGAACGAACACCACCGCGCCGCTTGTCAAGGAACATTTTTTTCACGTCGATAGCGTATTCTCACGTAGTTGCGCCATGGACTTCCTTCCTCCGCCATTGTGACGTATCCTCTCAGAGCGCTATGGCCTTGTCTTCTAGGAGGTGTTGGTTGTAAACGGCTTTCACTTTTCTCTCTCTCCCTTAGCTGAAAGCGTGGCAGAAGGTGTACCGCACTCGGCGGACCAATCAACCGTAGACTTTTATCGTTGGACTCTGCTCTCTCTGCGCGGGTAGCGGCAGAAACGTGATCGTCGCGTGGTTTAACGGATGACGCATTAGCCGTTGACAATCCCGAAATGCCTGCTTGTATCTGCTTACGGAGACTTGACCTAGTTTCGCGCGTGGTGCAGCCCGCGGAGCTATGTGGATTTCGCTTCTGTGGTAAATGGTGTCTGGTTCCAAATTCCTGCCGTATCGATTTCTTCAAAGAAGCCCACGACATTATTTTAATACGTTTAGTGTTCGGTTCGGCAAGTGGCAGTATGTGCTACTTTGTGTTGAATTGCCACGGATTCCTTCCTTTGGGTTTTTGTGTTTGAGTAGCTGTTCTGCAGTGCCCGTGTCGACATATATCTCGAATTACATCATTCAAAATCCGGTATATTCAACGTAAGTGCGCTTCAACCTATTTGGAGACGAGTGACCGTTCTTCTACGGGTACTCTTCCGGATAACTCCTTGAATTCTGCAGTGTCTATCTCCTGGCAGTGGGGAGAATAATTTCCCCGAAATTTTACCTACAGTCGCCTGCCATCATCTGTCTGAAGTAAAGTCACAACTGCAGGTAAAATACTGACTTTCTTATTCCCCCTGAGTTTCGTGAAACACGTTTCGCGGCAACCTTTTCGTCGGTTCACGTTTCATGGACACACGTTCCGTCGACTTTAACGTTTAATCGAAATTCGTTACGTGAATTGCACGCTGTAGGGTCATTTCGTCGCGCCTGTATTCCTGAGGCGCGTGTTCACCGACCCAGCCCACCCGTTCACGCCGCTTCTTGGGGAGTCTGCAACGGCTCGATAAAAAAAAAATAAAAGCTGTTCTGAGCTGTTTATGAAACATTGCGTGTTGACGAAACGATCTGTCGATGAAACGTTGTTCGATAAACTTATTGCACTGCCAGTGAGTGCAGCGGCGTAGACTTTCCATTTCTGGGGAGGCGGGGGAGAGGGCAGGCTGTGAAGTTCTCCGGGAGGGGAAGGGGGTGCTTTTCTGCGGAATTTTCTTTACACTGGCAATTGTCAGTAGTTTATTTTAGGGAGTACATCTTACAGCGTACGTATATCACCATGTGTCCGTCGCTGTGTTTACATGCAACTACTAGAAGCTCGTTACATGGCACGTAAACAGCGTCTCGGTAAGGGTCATGCCCCGGGGAGGGGCACTGCCCCCCCCCCCCCCCCGATCTCGCCAGGGGGGGCACGAGCCCCGATGCCCCCCCGTAGTCTAGGCCTATGAGTGAGTGGCGACTACCGGTAAAATTTCGGCGAAACATTTCTGCCGGCTGCCGGGAGACTAGACACTACCCCAGAATAATTCCGACTCCTGTTTGCTTTACAATCTTCTCAGTTATATAACAGCTTAGTAGTACCTCTTCACATATTACAAATTTCTTAGTTTGTACATGCCTACAGATACGCTGTGCGTAATAAACTTTCATGAGATTTGAAACGATCCCTTGTGTCTGTTTACCTGCCTTTTTGCGAACACCTGGGCGAGTGCATTTTTGTTGTTGCAGGGTTTGCTCTATGCTTTAGATGAGTTTATCATTCTCGAAACGTCTTATATAAGTTTGAGGTGTCCAACCTTCTTGTATGCATAATATAAACAAGGCGCCTGGCAAGGACGAAGAAAGACTGGACGACATGCGCTGACTGACAACTGACGGTTTTATTTTCATAAAACCAAAAAGAAAACAAACAAAATGTTCCTCGACTCAAGAAGCAATCGCCTTCGCATATCACAAAGTCTTTCATGGCGTCTTCACAAAATTCGGTCTAATCAGTTAGTGATCGCCCCCCTCACCGCGGACTAAAAATCATCTCGCCATCTAAGAGCGCCAAGGATGCCTGACTCACGCGGGTTGGGCCTGCCTTTCTTATATTAAGAATCTCGACAATGTCCCGCGCGCATTGGTCTCTGTGTCTTAACAACACGACGGCCTTTTCCAGTACCGGTGGGCAGGAGCAATCTCTGCAGTGCAATGCCAATTGGGAGCACGCTGTCCCTTCAAAAGAGCTACGATCTTCGCGCTGGCGAATGTTAAGGCGCCGGCCCGTCTGGCCGATGTACATCTAAATATTTTATATCTAAATACAGCGTCGGCGATTTTTTTCTGTTAAGATGTACAGACAACAAATAATTTGTTTCAGATTTTAATCGACTGCGGTAAAAAAAAAAAAAAAAACATAGGCAGCTAAAGCACGATAGTAAAGGGAACCATAGGACGAGCTACAGCATACCATACAGAGGGCTATAAGCGGCTAACGAAACCGTAGGAAAAGCCATAGGCAGCTATAGCACGGTGAATGTAAAGAACCATAGGGCGAACTATAGAATGAACTATCGCCGACCATAAAGAGAGCAATAGGCGGCTAAAGAAACCATAGGAAAAGCCATAGGCTGCTATAGCACGCTGTCTAAAAAAAACCACAGAATAAGCCATAAAAATAGCTTTGGCAGACCATACAATAGATAATAGACGGCTAAAGGAACCAAAAGAAAAGCCAGAGGCGGCTATAGCATCCTTTCCTAAAAGACCCATAAAGCAAACCATACAAAATTCTACAACTTTCCAGTGGAAAATCTATGGAGCGCCATGGGAGAGACCATAGGAAAACTAGAGACAGCCATAGAGGCGGCTATAGACTGACACACTGTTTACAAACAAGCCCGCGTTTGCCCAGACTAGGTGTTGGGCACTGCGCGAGTGCAGAAACCAGATTCGTGTGAGGTGAAGAATATACGCTTACGCTGTGGCGACAGCAGCACCACCGTAGAAGCGCGACGTCAGAGCCGCGTGTTGGTCTATAGCTAATTGGGCCAATTTTCTATAGCCGGCCATACAAAGGTTTTTTATAGCCGACCAGAACTCTCTTCGTAAGGGGGCCAGCGGACGGCTGAAAATTTACTTCGACCCTGGGCATTTTTTGACGTTCAACCGAAATCTCAGTTGCACGGCGCCTTCTGCGCACAGGCCCCTGTCAAATGGGGGGCGGCACGTTGGCCGGGATTCGAACCCACTTGCCTGGGGTGTTCCGCAGGCCGGTGCCTATCTACGGAGCCACTCAGGTGGCTCCTCTCCATCGTCTACAGCCCCAGCAATTGCACTTTGCTGATGTGAAGATTTCAAAGGCGTGGTCTAAACAAAGCTACATTGATACATAGATATCCGCTTTCGAAATCTTCCGGATTTCTTCCGGGAAAAAACAAAAAATAAGGAAAGCGTTCGGATACGATATGCTAGATCAATGCGAGAAGGGAACGATATCTCTCGCTTCTCTTGAAGTGAGGGCGCATGCGAGAGCTGTTGTGCCTCTTCCAGCTACTGGATATTAAGCCTACAGAATAATCTTTTCGACTTTTCTTGCGAGTTAAGGATGGCGACATACTTACGGTTGCAGTCGTGGACTGTTAGTTTTAGTTTGCATGCACAGTCTTACTACTGTATTGTCTGCAGCGGTATTGCCTCCAACTGTTTTGGTACGCATGACGCAGTTTACTCGGGATGCTCCTTGCGGGTAGGAAGCCTTAGTGGTGTAAAGAACGTCGTCCGCTCCAAGTGCTTTAAGAAACTTTGGAAATAAACACAAAAAGTGATTCTCAGTAGCCTGATAATCACTATTCTAAACTAAACAGAGCCAGACAGTAAACCTTTAGTGTTAACGTCTATTTTCAAACATGATAAACGAAGTTTAGCAATGAACAAAATACAAGGGGGCAAACGATATGCAAAAGGTTAAAATCAATGAACTCGAACCCGACACTGAGGATGCGAGAACCGCCACACAGACCGTGGTTCTAGGATGAGCACGCACTGTGGGCCACGGGAACAGCTGTAGTTTGTAAAAACTAAACAAGATAAGGGCCTGAATAGGATTTAAGGAAAGTGACATGGCGAAAAACACAATCAACTACCACGAAAACAAAATAAAAAAGAAAGAAACAAAATTACCCGCTTTACATAACCATAATACAAGGGACGAACGAGACACAAACGCCCAAAGCACGCCCACAAGGAAAAAGAAAACTGATAGCGACTTTTATTTTTGATGTCCTATTATGCAAGAAGTGCAGTATATAAGACACGATATTTAAAATATTTTGATATACATATCAGGGGAGTGAAGAACATTAAATGCCCTCACCGTCCTCTTATCCTCTACAACCTTACTATGCCCTAGCAGAGAGTATCGTAGAATAATAACTGTGGCAGGAGACGTATTGGCATAAACTATAGTCGGCGACAAGTTAAGAGTTCAGGGGAAGCTCCTCCCACCTCTTCCCACTTCCGCAGAGCGAACGCTGGACGGGAGGTCACGTCCAGTGCTCGCCCTGCTAAACACGAAAGAGTTAGGAGGAGTTTTCACTGAACGCTTAACATGACACCGCCAATATTTAATTCCAAGCACTTCTAAACTTTGTTTTAAATAAGTTTCTATGGTAGCGAGTCTAGTTGTGCTAATATCCAATTGTCATGAGGTATGCTCGGACGCACGGAGGAGCGGACTGACAAATTTTTGTGGTTATAGCTGTAATTACAAGAAACATTGAAGTTCTAAGGTCTACTTATTTTTTTATAACTGCATTTGTTTAACAAGTGTTCGCTTGACTCAAATAGATGTAATCTGTTACAAAATGAGTACATCTTAAAGCCATACAAATTTGCTTAAATATTCCGTACCTCAAAAAGCCTCTCTGCTAGAGTATCGCCGAGTGCCTTTGAAGGTAAGTGCGTGGCAAGAATAGCACATACTGTCACACCTGAAAAGATACGCAGCATATTTACTAGAATAAAATTTGAACTTTTCTTGTAATTCCAGCTTTTGATCCTCGCACTTTTATACTGCGAAGCCTTGTCATGTGACCGCTTACAAACACGGTTGTTTTTGTTGTCTTGTTAGTTGAAGCAATTTGATGAAAAAAGAATACTTCCGTGTATAACTAACAAAGCACATTCCTGAGATTTTCCATTGTTGAATTATTTCTGTTTTGTGTATTCCTCTTTAAGCTCACAATGTACTGCCCTAAGAACATAAAAAGACGTAAAATAACTGACGTTTGAAAAAGAACAGTCAAACTTGAGAGTATTCAGTGGCTCTAGGATTATAATAAAAAATCATTCTCACACGAAATAAAACTGAACTCTGAAGCCCGTGAAAAGCTTAACGTTCGATAGTCAAACGCTGAGGTAACAAAATCTGCAGAGTGTAATCAGTGAGTTTTGTTTTTATTTTTTGTTGTCACGTTTGTTAATACCGCCCTTAAAAGCCAGTCCTCGTTGGCAATGTGCGGAGAATAAACACGTTGATACGCGACAAACAACGAAATATTTCGTGCGGCGGGCTGGTCGTTGCACCCCCGTGCGAGGTGTAACCTCCCCACGGATCCTCGCATGATATATCAGTAGTGACTGTTGGTACGAGTGATTCGCTTTGGACGATGGTTCATTAATAGTGTTAACCAACATGAGTGTGTGTTGTTTTATCGTAGCTACCGTATTCATGGGGTTAAGGGCCATGACGTTACTGCTTTACTGTGCTAACACGAACAAATATATAAGCAAGAACAAACTGGCCCTATTAGCCATTCTGTTGCAATTTATTTCCTCTGTATCGTAGCCTTCTATGGCCCTTAAGGGGCATTCACACGAGGGAGAAATCCCGGGGATTTCTCCCCGGCACGCGCATCCAACGACGAGGACGTCAGGCTTTGCGATGTGCAAAAGCCTCGCGTTTTTATCTCGTGATGCCCGCGTGCCGGGGAGAAATTTCCGGGATTTCTCCCTCGTGTGAATACCCCTTTAACAATCACCTGTCCTCAGGGACCTGGTATGCAAGTTTAATAGCGCCGTCAGTGTGCCCGGCTCGACTTTACTCATACGCTGTCAGAACTGGTTTCTGTCCCCTGGATGTGCTGGCTTTGTTTGCAGGCGCACCACCTTCAGCGAGGCATGCTAAGAGGATATGCGAGATCCTACGAGCGGAAATGTGGGGGAAAGTGACTGGGCACGAATATTGCTTGACAATCTGGTGTCATCGATGAAGCAGCAAAATAAAAGAGCGGCTGAGAGGAATTGCGGAGAGTGTCTGCGCCTTGGCTCACAGACTACGTATTTCCTTTGGGAGGGACTCCGAGCTACCGTTAATAAGAAGAAAAGCTAGAGCGCCAGATCCTTCAGCGACGTCATCTTTCTGGGAGACTCTTTGGCACCAGAGAAGGTGACGGATGTGCTAGGACTGGGACCTAAGTACAGCCAACGACCCCGTTCCAAACCGATTGAGCAGCTGTGCCTCGCGTGAGCCCGTGGAGAAAATTCTCCGCCGGAAGAAAAGGAGAGATGCATTTCGGACACGGTCGACATCTTGAGATACAAGTGTGAAACGCCGAGCGGGACATTGAGGACCGCACCCGTGAACACGTGCCAGTGCCCGTGGTTTTCTACTTTGAGGCCAACACGCTCAGACTCGAACAGACGACAAAGACGGCCTTGCGGTGCCGCAGGGGGGCCTCATTAGGGAAACGTCAAGGACGGCCATTGTCAAGAATTTCAGGCAAGTGAAAACCGTATAGCTAAACAAGGTCAATGCAGACACTGAGAACGTATATATGCGAAAGGCTGGAATTCACAGGCTTCACAAAGTGGGTTCAACGAGCTAAGGATAATAATAAATAATAAATAAAAACATTTATAAATGTATTTTATTTATTTATTAAAATTAAAAATAGATAATAATAAATATAAAGCGAAACAAAGCCTCACTGTGCTTTTTACCTCAAAACGCATAAAGCGGACTGCTCAACTAGGCCAATTGTGGCTGAAAGAGACTCGTGGCAGAGGGTAGTTAGGGGCTACCTCGCAAGTTCTTTGGCTGGGCTGGTCCGCAAGGACCTCTTCTTAGTTCGGAACTCTGATACAGTTACCGAATCCTTTTGCGAAGGTGGCCCGCGTTACAGCGACGTGCTTTTATTAGATGTAGAAGACATAATATACTCAGTCACCTAAGAGAAACTATTCCTTGCGGTTAGGCGTTGCATAGGTGAAAATGATGAGATTTGCTTTAGAAATACAAGGGGTGCGAGCATCAAGTTATTAATAAAACTGTTGACGTTATCTCCTGGCGGACAGTTGATAGGGATGAAGTCGACTGTTGGTCCAAAGGGAGTGACGTTGCGCACTCACGGCTCTAAGTTTTGACCAGGAACTACAAAGCGCTGTAGGAGTAAAGACGGTGAGTTAGCGCGAGGTTATGTTGCTGCTTCCGTTGCTAACTGTCTCTGGTGGCTTCTTTTTGATGTTTGCTCTTATAGGGTCGTTCCTGCGGTGTCATCTCCTTGCGGACAGTTGATAGGAATGAAGTCGCCTCTTGGTTCAGGGGCTGCGATGTTGCGGACTCACGGCTCTCGGCTGTGACCAGGAACTACAAAGCACTATAGAAGTAAAGACGGTGCGTTAGCGCGAGGTTATGGTGCTGCTGCGGTTGCTAACTGCCCATGGTGGCCTCTTCTTGAAGTTTGCTCTTATAGGGTTGTTCCTGCGGTGTCATCTCCTTGCGGACAGGTATTGGACATCAGCTCAGAGTGAACGTTTGGCTAGAAATCGTGTCCAGCCAACACGTCGAAAGACGCTGCGTGTCAGGCTCGAACAAACTTAGTGAGCGGCCGCCATTCGAATGTGATGACGCACAGTTGAAGAACTCGAAGTTGTTCACAGGCCTGCATAAGACGATGAGCCAATGTATGTACGATGTAGTGATGCCGTTACAACGCGCAACGCCTGAACGCCGTGCGTATTCCTTTTACTTTCAAAGCCGCTGCACCTGACCCCCCGCCCCCCCCCCCCCCCTTCCAGTACCTTACCCTCCTCCTTCTCAAAAGCTGCGCTCTTATTCGGCGTTACAGGAAGTTGTAAACGGCTTTCACTTTGTTTCTTGTCTCCGCGAGGTGGCGGTGCACTCCCAGGCTTTGTCGTCCCGACTAGTTCCCAGTGGCGGCTCGTCTAGTCACGAGACTGCTACAATGGGGTTTTGGCGATGAGAGGTGCCGATCTAGGTCCACTTGAACTCGATGCCGCTTGGCTCGCTGGCTGCGAAGGACACGGCGTTAATTTGCTTTGACGCTGTGAAATGGGGGTGTTTTTCAAAAGTATCGACCAGATGGGAGAGTTCCCCAAGGGGATTAGCATTGTTTTTGTTGAGAAGGGAAAGAACGAGTTCTGTGGCTTCCCTGTGATTTGGGAAGATGCGCTGGCACTGGGGCCAATAGAATTGTATAATTGTCCCGATTGGGTGAACCTTGTGTCAGAGGGGGGTTTTCTTGGCCGTGCAGGCGAAAAAAACAAAAAAAAAAAAAACGTTGAGTTTGAACAGGCCCGCGCGCGGAGCAAGTTATCTCCCGTGTACTGCAGTTTCGTGTAGCTTTGTCGCCAGCAACAGCAGTTACTTTGAGCCTCACCGTGCGTGGTGGTCACTTTGCGCCGAGGAGCGTTTTTCGTCTTACTAGTGCCGTGAGCGAACAGTGGAGTCTTCTAACCAAGTTTGCTGTCGCCGTTGTAATAGATTTATTTGTATCAATCGTTACTCTGGTCTTTGAGCGTCTTTCCTCGAGGCTCTGAAACCCCCAATGAGCAGCGAAGCGACACCCCAGCGCGACAGTCCACGATCGCTCGGCCCTGACCTGCAACTTCTAGTAAGGCCGCGGAAAAACAACCTTACCCTCAGGGAGATATTTTTGCTAAAGCTCAAGGTGGTTTCATGGCCTGCACTGACGTCACACCAGCTGCCACTGTGGCTTTGGTATCTCTTGCAGCGTGTAAAGTGTGTATTATCGCATTTGTTTTGCAAGCGGAAGTAGATTGCACACCGGCATGGTGCAAGGATGTTGAGTCCAAGCCATGTGTAGCACTGACTCGACCGAACTTGCGTCTTCTTGCCTTTCGAGCTACGCGACACCGTAGACTCAAAGAGCTGAATTGGATGATTATATTCGCTGCAGTTACGAGATTATCGTCAACGCCCGTCTTGATTCACGCGCATACGGAATGTGAAAAAAGACATTTCTAGAGAGAGAGATATTGAAATGTAATGGTGGCCCAAGTTCTCACCTTAAGTTACGCCATATCAAATGTTTTTTTTGCAAACATAAAATGAGCTAGAAATGACCGAGGTGTGGAGTGGCCGATAGGAGCCAGCGAAGCCAAACCAGCGCTTTGAGCTAGAGTCCCTGAATAAAAATCGCGCCATGCGTTTATTGCCGAAAAGGAAAAAAAAACAAAAAAACAAGACAACCACTATTGGCGATCGCGAGAGAGGTGCGCCACTAGACTACGAATTGGAGCCACGCAGACGTTTTTATTCCGAGTCCGCTCCATAGCCGCTCACTTTAGTGCTGCGCCGCCATTTGTTTCCAAGTGTCGCATGAGTGAGAAATTCATGCATTGGCGCATATTATGATTTGATGCCGCTTGCAAGACAAACACAAATCAGGAGTCTTTACTGTGGGTGTGTGAATCCTCGGTGCAACCTAGAGACTCGCGGAGCGCGAGGTAACGTGGCACGTTAATACCACTCGAGTGGCTGCATGGGTCGTGCATCGGCCGGCGTCACTCTAAAATTGAAAGTGAAAGCTTGTCGCCCGGCGGCGACACACAGCAGGTTGTCACAAAATCACCACGTCGTGCATAGACGTGGCCTTTCATTGGTCCTCCTTTGTGTGTGGTGAAGCATACAGAAATCTCACACAGATCATTCTCCGCAAAAAGGAAAGCCTGGTATCGGCGATTTC